TCCCAGCCCAGAGCCCCCAGCAATCCCAGCCTGGGGGCTGTGTCCAAAGGCAGCCTCAGGGCTGTGCCCACTCCCTGTTCCTGAGGATGTGTTGCCATGCAGCCCCAGCAGAGAACAACAATGATTCAGTGCTGTGTTCCCTGGGACAGGGACAAGATGATCCAGTGATACCAGCCCAGGTGATCCATGGTGTAACCCTGGCAGGCAGGGAGCCCTGGAGCAGCTGGCCCAGCTTGGGAACAGAGGATTCCCAGAGCCCAGAACATTCCCCAGACACAAAGAAAGAGGGACCTGGACAAGCAGGAGCAAGCAGGAGTGCTGCCACCAGAGATTGGGAGTCCAGGGAGAACATTGCCATCCTCAGGGAGGCTGATGAGGCTGTTTGGGGCCAGGGTGGGAATCTCCACATCCTGCAGTCCTGGCACAGCCTCTCCCCTCCATGGGAAGTGGCTGGTGCTGTCCCACAGGAAATGATCCTGCAGGACACAGCCCTGGCCACCCTGGGGACACAGCCCTGGCCACCCTGGGGACCCTGTCCTGGCCACCCTGGGGACCCTGTCCTGGCCACCCTGTGTTCCCAGAGCCCCAGCCCAGGGGAGTTGCTCTCACACGTGGCTCTGGGTAATTCCAGCCTTGCAGTGCTGCTCCCACAGCAGCAACACTCCCAGCATTATCATTTTCTTTATGCCCTCCCTGCTCGTTTCTCTTGTCTAGGACAGACCAACAAATGCTCCAAAATGATTATTTTCATTCCATGTTGTGTTCTGATTGTTTTCCAGCAGCTGTGTCTGTTGAATTAAAAATAGGAAGTTTCCCAAGGCTTTGAGTTTCTTCTTTCAAGCAGTTGCTGTTGGTCTTTACAGAAAGAACTACCAAGGAGATAAAGCATGAAAATTCCCAGGTATTTACAAAAAAACAGCTCTTTTTTCCTATCTTAGGATTGTGTTCAGTTTCCTGAGTATTCCCATCCCATTGAACTGCACCAGCTAAAAAGCCTCAAAGAGAATTTTCCTAATTTTCCTCCAAGAGAGTCTGCACAACTCATAAATATCCTACCCTTGATTTGCTGATTTCTCCTTTTCCTCACATCAAAATCCTTCATTTCTGTTTTATTGTCATTTACAATAATGCCCAGAGCAGCTGTGGCTGCCCCTGGATCCCTGGCAGTGTCCAAGGCCTTGGAGCAGCCTGGGACAGGGGAAGGTGTCCCTGCCCCTGGGAACTTTCAAGTCCCTCTGATGCCTTTAGTTTTCAGTGTTCCTGTTCTCCTTGGATGTGCTTTTCTGCTGTGCTGGGGTGATGCAGACAAACCAGTCCTGTTCCAGTTCAGAACTCAAGGACAGTTTCTCCAAACTTCAGGCCCTGAGCACAAACTCCGTGGAAAGGTGGAGGGTGGGTTCATGCAAATGAACCAGAACCTATCAAAGTGTGAGATTTTGTGACCAACCCCCTCCTTTCCTTCCATCCTGGAGCCATCCAGGCAGGGGCCACCACTGTGCCACTGACATTGCCATGGGGTGGCTTTTGTTGGGCTCTCAATAAATCCCCATTTTATTCCCCTGAACTCTGTGTCTGCTCCAGCTCCTCAAGGCATCACCTCCAACCCAATCCAGTCTGGGATTTTGGGATTCTGTGATGAACATTTGCCTCCTCTGTCTGCAGCTGGAGTTTTCTGACCTTCAGTGAGTGAGTCCACGGAGAAAGATGAGCACGGGATGAAGAAGGAAAAGCCCTGAGCTGACAGAGTGACCCTGCAGAGCCCCAAGCCCCCAGGAGAGAGGGCTGCAATAATCCTCTTACCAGTGACACAGGCAGGGAGAACAGATTTGTGCTGCAGGGAACTGCATCTCCTCCCTTTGGAAAGCATCCCCGAGCTGCCTGGCTCATGTTTTTCAGCAGTGATAAACATTTTATGCACTTTGGGATTGATGCCTTCTGGAACCATCCGTGGGCTGTGCTGGTAGAAACGAAGGGTTTTGTTCCCTGAAATGGCTTTGTTGATGCTCCTTTTGTTACACTGGCTTTGGTTGTAGGTCTGAAAGAGAAGGTGAATAGAAAAAAAAAATCATCTGCTGATTGATTGTTCTTTCACAGCTTTTGAACCAAATTAAAAGAAGGCCTCGGTGTCTGCGGGGTTTCTCATTATTTTCTGTTCCCTCAGCGAGGTGTTGTTCGGTTTGGGGTTTTTTAATGGACCAGAAGCAGGCACAGCACTGCAGAGTGAGAAAGGAGCACAGCCCTTGCCTGGGGGAAGTGACAATCTGCCACTGATACAGGGATGATGTCAATTAGATTACATCAGAAACAGGGGAAGGAGCTCAAGCAAAAGAAAAAAAAAAAAAAAAAAAGGCCTAAGATGATTTGTTGATGTCATGAGTGCTCTGANAAAAAAAAAAAAAAAAAAAAAAAAGGCCTAAGATGATTTGTTGATGTCATGAGTGCTCTGAGTCCTTTTAATTACACTCCATTTTATTGTGCAATGGAGAAACCACTGGGGAAAGTGAGGAGAGAAACTGCAGCTCCCTCTGGGACTGCTGTGGCCCAAGGAGGTTTTGAGCTGTGCCCCTGTGACACCCTGAGTGCTCCGAGTGTCACAGGGGGCAGCTGGCCCTGCCAGAGATGATTCCAGGGAGCACACGAGATGTTAAAACTGGATAAAACTGGAAGAGGCTCATGGCCAGCTCTGATAAACCTCTCAGGCATGCCAAGAAATTAATTCTTCACCCTAGAACAGTCAAACCCCAGTGTTTTTATGGCAGAAAAATGTGGTGTGACCCAATTAGCAGTGGCAGAGTTGTGACTTTGGTGGCTTTTACCTCCCCTGGGATGAGCAGCTCCAGGGGACATCCCAAACCCCATCCCCAGCCCCAGGGGACATCCCCAGCCCCAGGGGACATCCCAAACCCCATCCCCAGCACCAGGGGACATCCCCAACCCCATCCCCAGCCCCAGGGGACATCCCCAACCCCATCCCAGCAGCTCCAGGGGCCTGGGACACCTGCAGAGGCTGACCTGGGAACACGTGGGAGCCATGGAATAAACACTGAGCTCACAGAAAAGAAATTCCTGCACACCCTGCACTGAGCCCTTTGTCCCAGTACATCTTCAAAAGCTTTGTGATTGACTTGAAGTGGTTTGATTATAAACAATCCCAAAACTAAACCAAGCAAAACAAACAAACAAACAAAAAAAAAATCCCAAAACTAAAACAAAGGTAAAAAACCAAAACCACAAAAAAACCTCCAAACAAATTCCCATAAATTAATGGATGGACATGAATTATTTAGCTGCAAATTAAGTGATGGGGAAGAACCTCCACATTGAGTCTCTTTCCAGTTCTGCTAAAATTTAAAAACCCCAACTACAACCCCAAAAAACACCCTCAAGAAAAACAAAACAAACCACCCAAGACAATATTGGTTTGCAATTAAACTTATTTCCTGACCTTAAAATAAAAAAAAAAAACCCCAAAACATTATGTACAATGTTCTACTTGGGGAGAGGTTCTGCTTCAAAGATATCTGAGAAAATCGGGACAACACAGTAATCCAACTACTTAAGGGAAGCTCCAAGGAATTTAAGGGACTATTTTATATCCCATTACAGAGCAGAGCTTTCAATAGTAACCAGCCCAAGTAAGCAGCATGAAAAAATATCTATTTACAAGCTCCACTCAGGTTTAGCATTTTTAACTCTCATCCCTTCAAAGGGGAAACTTTTTGCCCCCTCAGGGAGGATTCTTTGCAGTCTCATTCGGAATTAAATCCCTGCCACCTACAAACCCCAACCACAGCTACAGCATGGACTGCAATAAATGAAATAACACCAAGAGTCTGACATTTTCGGGTTTACAATTGATTTACACAGATCTTGGATGCATTGATTTGCACTTCCTTTCACTGGTGATGGCAGCAGGGATTGCCCAGCTTGTCCTGCCCAAATTCTGCCCAAATTCTGCCCAAGGATGAGCCCGGGCCCTGCAGGGCTGTGGTGGGATCCCCCAGCACATTCCCAGTGGCACTGTCCCCCCCGAGGGACATTCTGTACTCAGAGATGATTCATTATTCTGTGCCTGAGTGCTGGGCTGCAGGAACCCAGCCAAAGTGGATTTGCACCTAAGCTGATCTCCTCATCCTCACACGCAAGAGCGCGGCCACCAAAGCCAGCTCTGAGCGTCACCAGTAAGCACCAGTCTGAGGGGCCAGTGTCACCAGCAGCACTGCCAGTGTCCCCTCCCAGCCCCACACCCTCCTCTGCAGCCTTGGAAAACCCCGGGAGTCTCTGGGTTTCATTTGGTGACATGGCAGGCTGGGAGAGCTGGGAATGTTCCCCTGGAGAGGAGAAGGATCCAGGGAGAGCTGAGGGCACCTAAAGGGGCTCCAGGAGAGCTGGAGAGGGACTGGGGACAAGGGATGGAGGGACAGGACACAGGGAATGGCTCCCAGTGCCATTGGGATGGATGGGATGGATGGAATGTTGGGAATTCCTGGCTGGGCTGGAATTCCCAGATTTGCTGTGGCTGCCCCTGGATCCCTGGAATGTCCAAGGCCAGGTTGGACATTGGGACAGTGGGAGGTGTCCCTGCCATGGCAGGGCTGGTTCTGGAGGATCTTTCAGGTCCCATCCAACCCAAGCCATTCCAGGGCTCTGTGCTGGAGTTTCCTGTAAATGTGAATGAGGAGGCTGAGCAGAGACTCAGGGACAGGACTCACCAAGGACAGAACCTTGGGAAAGGCTGGAGCTGGGCCAGGGGAGGTTTAGGTTGGATTTCAGGGAAAGGCTCTTCCCTCATCCAGAGGATGCCAGGCACTGCCCAGGCTCTCCAGGGAACAGCCCCGAGGCTCAGAGCTCCAGGAGAGTTTGGACACCAGGATGGGATTGTTGGGGTGTCTGTGCAGTGCTGGGGTGACCCCTGACTCCCTGATTGCCAGCCCCCCTCACCCTCTTGTCACAGCCCTGGGCCAGGGAATGTTTAGGTAGGAGATCAGGGAAAGGTTCTTGCCCCAGAGGGTGTTGGGCACTGCCCAGGCTCTCCAGGGAATGGTGACATTCCTGAGGCTGCCAGAGATCCAGGAGAGTTTGTACATCAGGATGGGATTGTTGGGGTGTCTGTGCAGGAGCAGCAGAGCTGAGATGACCCCTGAGGGCCAGCCCATCCCTGATTCCCTGAATCCCAGCCCCTCTCACCCTCTCCTCACAGCCCTGGGCCAGGGGATGTTTAGGTTGGATTTCAGGGAAAGGTTCTTGCCCCAGAGGATGCTGGGCACTGCCCAGGCTCCCCAGGGAATGGGAACAACCCCGAGGCTCAGAGCTCCAGGAGAGTTTGGACACCAGAATGGGATAGTTGGGGTGTCTGTGCAGAGCTGGGGTGACCCCTGACTCCCTGACTCCCTGAATCCCAGCCCCTCTCACCCTCTCCTCACGGCCCTGGGCCAGGATGAGCACGATGCGGCCGTGGCGCCGGCGGCCGGTGCGGCCCATGCGCTGCACCAGGCGCACGGGGCTGCGCTGGGCGTCGAAGCACACGATCAGATCCACCTCGCCGATGTCCAGCCCCTCCTCGCCCACGCACGTGGACACCAGAGTGTTGTAGCCACCCTCCCGGAACCTCCTCACCACCTGCAGGGACAGCGGGAATGGCAGTGAGCAGCTCGGCCAGGAGAAATGATCTGTATCCTAAAACAAGTGATTTATATCCTAAAACATCTGATTTGTATCCCAAAACAAGAGATCTGTACCCTAAAACAACTTATTTGTATCCTAAAACAAGTGATTTGTATCCTAAAACAAGTGATTTATATCCTAAAACATCTCATTTGTATCCCAAAACAAGTGATCTGTACCCTAAAACAACTGATTTGTATCCTAAAACAAGTGATCTGTATCCTAAAACAAGTGATCTGTATCCTAAACCAAGTGATCTGTACCCTAAAGCAACTTATTTGTACCCTAAACCAATTTATTTGTATCCTAAAACAAGACGTTTGTATCTTAAAAAAAGCGAAATTTTATCTTTTTAAACGTCCCAGCTGGTACCTTGTGATCAAACACCACACCCCAGTGTGATCAACATCAGCATTTCAAGTCTTTAACTCTAAAATAAAGGGGGAAAAGCACTGTTGGGATGGATAGGAATTTGACAGGAAGGTGTCACAGATGTGTGTGTGTAACACAAAGATCTTTGGATGTAGAATCTGAAGAAGGAATAGAAATGAAAGCAAATTTTGATGTAGAAGAAAAGAACTGCTGAGCCAGTCTGACTGGATAATTAAGAAGGCAAAGGCTGTGTTAGTACGTGAGCTGGAAGGGGTTTTTATAACTCTGAGAAAAGGATAAATCCACCTCAAACAAAAGATGTTTTTACCCAGCAAAAAGATTTTCAGACAAACAAGAAAGCCAATGTTGCAAGTAGAGAAAAGATCTCAGAATTTTCCACTGCAAGAAAACTGCTGTGGGCTGGGCTCTGTCACCCACAACCCATGAACTGCTGTATCCTATGGACACAATAAACAGCATTTTATAAATTACTGTGTCACCTGGATACAATAAACAGCATTTTAAATAATGAAGAAATTGCTGTATCACCTGGATACAATAAATAACATTTTAAAGAGCCATCTGGAGTCCCACATCCCTTGTTTTGGCTCTTACAAAGCACAATTTATTCTGACCCCAACCATGGTATTCATGTAAAACTGATCCTCCCAACTAAGCAATTAAGTATTTCAGGGCTTGTCTTTTATTTTTAGCTTTGCTAGATCAGAATTTTATCTGTTTTATTAGATCTTATTTTATCTGTTTTATTAGTTCTTATCTTTCCTACCTAGAAGAAAAAAAAAATTCCCACAGCACGAATTGGCACATTTCCCCAGGTGTTTGACATCGAAATTCAGCAGTTGTTAATGTAAATATACTGATTTTATCGATCAGCTATTGATCATTAAGATCAATATATTGATTTTACTGATCTAAATATACTGAACTTACTGATCTCTTTTGCTCAGTGAGCACAATTTTGGATACTCTGGAAACCACAACGATTTACTAACGACACTTCAAGCTCGGCCCTTGCCACACAGCCCACACTGCTGGATTTATGGACACAATTAATGTTCTTTATCACTGGCTCCTAGCCCAAATCCCCTCTCTGCTCACCTCCAGCTGCTCCTTCTGGGTGAAGCCTTTGGTGGCCTTTCCTGAGGAGTGTCCCACGAAGGTCATGGCGCGCACGGCCGGGCTGAGCCGCGCCAGCATCTCGGCGATTTCCTGCACGCTGTCCCGGAACGAGGAGAAGATCATCACCCTCGTGTCCCCAGCTGAGCTGCCACTCCTGTCTGCACCTGCTGCATTTCAAAGTGGCAGGTTTTAATAGAATGATCAGTAAATAAAGGATGGGGTAACCACCCACCCCCTCCCCACAAGTTACACAGATCTCGTCGCATTTAATGGGGAGAGAAAATGGGCAGAGGGTGCTTCAGGATCCACCTCCCAGGAAAATTCCTCTTGGGATCAAAGCAGGCTCTAATTTTGGAGGATGTGAAAATGAGAATGTCTTTATGTGAGGTGCTGTTACTGAAGTCACTTTGAACAGCTGGGGTTGGATGGGAAGTGTTTTGGAATGAAGTTCACAATGCTCTTGTTTCCATTTCTCCAGTTTAAGATCCTCAGGACAGCACAACCAGAATCCCACAATCCCAGACTGGTTTGGGTTAAAGGGACCTTAAATCCCATCTCATTCCACCCCTGCCATGGCAGGGACACCTCCCACTGTCCCAATGTCCAACCTGGCCTTGGGCACTGCCAGGGATCCAGGGGCAGCCACAGCAAATCTGGGAATTCCAGCCCAGCCAGGAATTCTCAATTCCTGGGAATTCCAGGGATCCAGGGGCAGCCACAGCTTCCCTGGGCAATGAATGGAACAGAAAGGGCTGATGGCTTTGGGCATGAACTCCCTCCCTTTCCATCTCAAATGTTGGGATTTGAAAGTGGAGGCAAAAGGAGGGAGGGAGGTTGGGAGGACAGAAAGAACTCTGAATGGGAAGGGGAAAAAAGGAGTGAATTGTATTAAATGGATTGAGATTTATCCTAAAGTTACAAACTCAGAACTGGGAAACAAAGCTGCCCACTAGAAAGCATCAGTCATTTCAAAGGTTTGCTGAGAACATTGCATCCAAGTGAGAAAAAAAATCACAAAAAAAAAGAGGGAAGAGCACATCCGAAATTATCTTCACAAAGATCCAAACAGGCAACATAAAAAGTGAACAAGATGCAAAACAAATATTGTTATTACTCATGTAATCATTCCAAAGGCTGCAATCAAGAAGCTGAAAAATCCCAGAATCAAAGAGATCTGAATGATGTCTTCATCAAGGTGAAAAACAATGAGAGACAGGGGAATGTAACTGAAGGGTTTGAACTTCAAATTGATGCCTCAGAGTTGTTAATTCTTATCCTCAGGCTGCATATCAGAACTTTTATCCTTAAATGTGTTCATGGAACTCTGCAGGAAAGACTGGCAGCAAAACTGGGACAGGACCAGCAGGAAATGTGGCAGCCTCAGGAATGAGCTCCCTATCCCTGATTTACTCAGCTTTTAGAGCAGTTTATACAAATTAATAATGAGAATTTATATTTCTTATAGAAATCTTCTGGTGAAGTTGTTCTTCCTTGTTTCCATTCCCAGGTTTTCCTCTCAGTTGTTGGTACTCACCAGAACATCTCTCTTTCCAGGATTTGAAGTGTTCTACTACAATTTCCTCCAATTTCTTTAATTTTGGATGGCTGTAGACAAACTCCTTTTTCTTATCCAACGCTGGAAAGGAAATAAAATAATGAAAGATGCAAATAAACCTGCAAAAAGCAGGAAGGTTCAGTGAACTTCATTCCTTCCCACTTTGAGTCAGACCCAAACCCTGATACTGGCTCTAAACGAAGCAATAAACATTTGTTAAATGCAGTTTTTGAGAAAGTGCTGTTACTTTTGTTAGAGTCACACTGGAAAAGACTTAAAGTGAAAGAGTTGTATTTTAACCTTCACTTTAGAACAAATTAAAAACTTCAAACATAGAGAACTTGACTGGAAGTAGCAAAAACCACTGAGGGAAGAGAGAGAGGGAAGGGGAGACAGAATATTGGGAATTCAATCTGGAATAAAGAGCAGCAGCCAGTGCAGCACAACTTTTAAACAGGAATATTCTGTACCTAAGAGGGGAAAATCCTGACCTGTCGTGCTCTTGCAAACACCTCCATTCTCAGGAGTCACAGCAGTGTGTGAGAACATGTCCTGGAGCTGCAGGTAGAGTTTCATGAAGTCCTCATTGCGACCCAGCTCGTTTTTGGTGCGGGATAAACCTTGGGAGAGAGGTGGAACAGCTCAGGATGCCACTCTAACACGAAGGGAACAAAACACCAAATCCATCTGCAAACCCCTCCTTCTTTAAGTTGCTTTGTACACCAAACCAACCACAGAGGCAGGAAAACGAAAGGAGCAGAGTGGAGGTGACAGGGAGGAGGTTCCTGAGGACTTTTCACCTTTGGATCCATCCATGATTCCCCACAGGTAGATGAACAAGGAGCGGATTCCCATCTGCAGCAGCAGCTCGTAGCCGTGGTACAGACTGATGCAAAGGGCAAAGTCTCCTTCTATGATGCCTTGATGGATTCCCTGGGGGATAAAGGCACACTCAGAATGAATGAAGAAGTGGCTGAGGAGCAGGAATGCCACTGCAATTCCTGCCCTAAAGCACAGTGACACCTGAGGAGCAGAGCAAAGCCCAAAGTGAAGGCCGGGGAGAAGTTTGGCCATGAGAGCCCTCAGGGGACAGAGAGCACCACGCTCAGTGAGGCCAATCCTCCAAAATATTCTCCAAAACACATCTGTTATCTCCCCAAATCAGACTCTGAGAGCTGAACAGCATCTGGGAGAACCAGGGATTTCTGGCACATGCAACCCAGGCTATGGAATTAAGTCAGGAAAGTTGCCTTGTTGAAGTGAAGATTTCCCATTGCTCTTTTTGAGGCACACTGACTTGTTTTTAGGCAATTTTCATTAAGTTGAGAGAATTTGACCATTCCATGAGGGTTTACCAAAAAACAGGAGCAGGAATTTACCTTTGAGGGGAAAAGGAAAACTTGGCTGTCAGTGATTACAACAAAAATTCTCAAAGCAATTTCACTTCAATGGACTTCTTGATCTTTTCCTTAACTCTTCTATAGTGGCATCCAGAAACGTGGAACAATCAGGAATATTTTATAGATTTCATAAATGATCTTAAAGATCCCTTCCATCCCAAACTGTGCTGTGATTCTGTATTTTATTCCATGGCTAAAACCAGAAATCTACTTAAAATATCTCCGGAAACAATGCAACAATGGATTATTCCTATTTATTCCCCTACTTTAATAGCATGAAATAAATGAAGAACTTACAGCATGTTGTGCAGAGGGATTCTTCCTGTACTGATCCCTTGCCAGGATGATCTGGTACTTGGTCAGGTTTGGAATATCCCTCCTGGATAAAACTCCCACCTTAATCAGGCGTCCAGCAAAAGCTTCCAGCACCTGCAACCAAAACCCAGCACAGGTGAGAGAGGAGCGGGGGAAGTTTGAACCCTTTAAAATTATTTTATTTTTATAGATCCTACCCAACAGAACACGAGCAGCTCATTGGTTTTATTTGAGAGAGATGATTTTTCCAAGTGAGCTGTGCTGAATTCTGAGGTGCTCTGCCTCGGTTCTCCATCATCTGGATGTTTTTAGGTTAATTCCCAAAATTTCACTTGGAAAAGGCTCTCAGGGACAGGGGGGGAGGGGATGGGAGCTGGGACACACGAGCAGTGTGGAGTCTGGAAATCAAAGGTGTCTCTGAATTCTTCAGAGAGAAATCAAAGTAGGAGAATTAAATTAAAACCTTGAAATAAACTCGAGTGTATTAAGCCACTCACACATAAAGTAGAAGCCTAAGTTTTGCAATAATAAGTAAAGAAATAAGTTTAAGTAAGTAAAAATATGTTTTAAGTATTTTGAAAAGTAAAAGTTTAAATGCCAGTGTAAAAGTCCAATTTCTAGTAAAAACTAAAAACTATAGTACTAAATATTACTATTAAAAACAAGTTTCCATAAAGGCTCCAAGGACATAGTTTTAAACATAATCAAACTATAATAAAAAATATTCCTTATATTTTTGAAATAAAACAAAATAAAGCATATGCATAGTTCACATGTAACCCAGCATGCTAAAGATTAACATTCTAATAAATTAAGAAAAAATAGTTGGAAACCGTGTTTTTAACTTATTAAGTAATTTGTGTATAAAACCCTATGCATTTAAAAAAAAATTCATTTTTGCTCTCTCGCTTTTCTTCTCTCCTCACCACCATCACCCCAAAAAAAAAAAAAAATAAAAGCTGCCACAACAACACCAGTCCACCCAGGACCTCGACAAAAACAACTTCTAATTCAAACTTTACCCCAAAAATTTTTAGCAGAAACTTTAACACTAATAACTCTTTACCTTTCAAAACTAATGTACCTTTACAATAACCAACTGTGTAACAAATAACAACCACTCGATTCTTTAAAAAAAAAAAAAAAAACAAACCAAACCAAACAACCAGAAGAGAATTTGTTTTCAGCCATCACATGTACCTGCTTTCCACCTGGCTGCAGCAAGGACAATAACCTGCACTAATTCACCTTAATCTTGTTTTTTTCCCTCTTTGTTTCCCCAGCCTTAGGTGGTCAGGATTTTTTCCACAGACTTAAGTTTGGCCTGAGCATTAACTCTGCAATAATTGCAGTAATCAGATTTGTCCTACAAACACTCTTTACAATCCATTGGGTCCCAAAAACATCCCAGGGCACGAGAATGTGGAATCTCCAAAATGTGAAGTTTTTGAGTTTTCTGTGCTTCCAGGCACAAACCCCCTGAAAAAACACTGCTCTGGAGCTGAAACCTTAGAAAAAGCTTAGAAATATTAATAATGAGTTAAAAATCACAAATATGTAGTAAGTTAAATGTGTGTGTTTTCACAAAGTATTGCATTTTAAATTTGAAAGTTTTATAGTATAATAGTGGTTATAAAACCAAATAAAAAAATTTAAGTAGTGTCTTTCTCTTTATTCATCTTCTTCATGAAACTTAAGTAGGAACCTTTTAGTTAGTCATTCAAAAGTCACTCTAAAGGTTGTAGAAATCTATTATTAGGTCAAAAAAATTAATAATATAAGTGTTAAACTTCTATTAATATATTTAACTTTAAAAAGCCTTAAAGCAGCCTCAGCTGTGCCATTTTCCCCAATTCTAGCAAAGAGCTGGAGGTGCTGTCACACTTCCTGTAACTTTTAATAAAATCTAATAAACATCCAAGCCAGAACATGAAAATCACCTTTCTAATAATAATAGCTCTAAAAGAAATCAAACAAAATGAAAGACAAACCATTAATGAGAGGTGCAAGGCCCAGCTTCCAGCCCCACAAAGAACAGGTTTCACCAAAGCTGCCACAGTTTTCCATTCACATTGTGTTTCCCAAATTTTCCAGGCACTCCTGGAGCTGCCTTCCCTATAGTGTAACAAATATTTAATCTCTTTATTGTCCCCTCAGCCCAGTGAAAAGCATCCAACTAAAGCAATAAAAGCTGAATTCAGGTTTGCAGCACTGATGCCAGCAGGCCTGGAGCTGGTGGGGAGGAGATGTCCTGGCAGGTAAAGAATGACAAGAGTGGAAACTCAGGTTGTTTTTGTCCCATCTGTGACTCCAGGAATTCTCCTGTGCTGGGTTCCCACATCCTGTCAGGATTCACCAAAATCTTAACAAGCACAAGCTGCTCCTGGCTTGGCACTGCAGGGACAGCTCACTTTAACTTCTGTCTGCTTGCTTTGATTTGTGGGACACATCTTGAAAAAGTGAGAAAATTCCAACCTGAAAAATAATCCAGCTCTGTTCCCAGCCCATGAGCTGCTCCAGCTCAAGGCTAAGGGAGAATTTCTCCCAGGGTGATAATTTGGTCACAATAAAAAGGAATTAATACCAAAATCAAACCCCTGTTGTGGTGTGTGCCCAGGCCCTGGCCATGGGGTGTCTTCTCTCTGAACCAATCTCCTTTTCTCTGCTCTGGGAGTTGCAGTCCTGCTATAAAACCAAGTGTGTTTGTGAATAAACTTGGCTCTTTCTGTCATAAAAAACAACCAAGGAGCTGTGCATCTTATTTCCCCTGCACTTAAAGGGTTAAAACCCCTTTCCACAGCTACATGGATTATTCCTATACTTTTGTTTATAATTTAGTTTCTAATATCGTTTATTTATCGGTTCTATTATCTTCTTACTCTGTGTGCAGAACCTGTGGGGCATTAAAATGAAAACAGAATCACAGAATGGAATGGTTTGGGTTGGGAGGGACCTCAAATCCCATCCAGTGCCACCCCAGCCATGGCAGGGACACCTCCCACTGTCCCAATGTCCAACCTGGCCTTGGGCACTGCCAGGGATCCAGGGGCAGCCACAGCAAATCTGGGAATTCCAGCCCAGCCCCAAATTCCTTCCCAATATCTAATCTAAAATCCTAAAGAACCGAGTAGGAATAATTGCCATCATCAACGACAGCACCATTAATCCCCTAAAGAACCAAAAATGCCAGGAGAAATTGGGAAGGGTGAAGGGGAAGTTGTGGCAGCCCCAGCCGAGCTGTGCTGGGGAATTTCCACCGTGCCCATCCATAGAGGTCACAGCACACTGCAGGATAAGCAGCTTAGAGCAGATAAAGGGAAATCACAGACATGGAGCCACAATTCTGAGAGCTCTGGGGCATTTTGGGGCTGCTCCTCTCCCCTGGGAGGGTGGGGAGGGGCTGGGATGAAATTCCCAGATTTGCTGTGGCTGCCCCTGGATCCCTGGCAGTGCCCAAGGCCAGGCTGGATATTGGGCTTGGATCACCCTGGGACAGTGGGAGGTGTCCCTGCCGTGGCACTGGGTGGGATTTAGGGTCTCTCCCAGCCCAAACCATTCCATGACCATTCCTTGGTCCCATGGGATGGGAGCCAACCCCTCCCTGTCCCCTGGGTCAGCCCAGCTGTGGGCACAGGGCACCCAAAGGGCTCCAAGGCTTCCCAAGCCCTGCCCAGCTCTCCCTTATCCCCAGGGAAAGCAAGGCAGCACACACCATCCCCAGGCATTCCTTCTAATTAAGGCTCAGGGATTAATTAAGCCAAATAAACCATTAACACCTCTAACACCACCAACAAGCAAACACCAACTGGAAGCTACAGCAGTGCCAGGAATTTCTGGGGGAAAAAGGAGAAATCAAATGTTGTTTTCTTAAAATACAGCCAAAACCATCCACCAAGCCACTGGGAAGGCTGAATGCACAAGGAATTCATTTCTCATATTAGTGAGAACAAAATTAAAAATGCAGTTTAGTTTTAAGGGTTTAAAATTCAACACTTGGATGTTTTATCACAGAGTTTGTTACTGTTCTGTTGTTTTTCAATCCAGGCTGTACCTGACAAATCCCTTCAAAAGGACAGAGACAGAGATGTCTGTGCCAGCTCACAGGAACAGGTATTTACCAAATAAACCCAAATGCTGACCATGAAGGAAGAATTCAGTGCTTTTTATTTGAATGGATACCACGGGAACAGCTCATTACCTTCCCATCAAACCCCAAACAATTGGGCATGAGCACACTTGAAATGCTGAAGATGAAGCTTAAACTATGTCTCAAGTAGTGGAAATGGAGTCAGGCTTTTCAAAAATGTTCCTCTTGAAAAGAAATTAATGTTTTCATTAAAAAGTAATGGCCACTAAATCTGATATTGCAGCACTGGTTTATGATTTCCTATACTTGTTGCAGAGCTTTTTTTTTTTTTATCTAAAAAGCAATTTCCATTACCTGTACTTTTCTGTTTCATCCCTTGACCTAGTTTCTCACATACAAGAAAATGATATTGTCCCTGTTTGCTCAAGGTACACCCCTGTCTGATTTAATCACCTTCAAAACAAAGCTGGTGCTGTTATGAAAGACAGCAGGATCCAGTCACCTGGAGCTTCACAACTGCCAGGGAACAGTAAACACAACCCACTTAGGAGAGCCTCAGCAGCAGGCACTGCTCATGATTACATTGATCTTGCCTCCATACCTTCATTTTTAATTAAAAAGATAATACTTCTAGAAAAGTCCCCCCCTCCAGCTTTTCCAAAACACTCCAGCGTCGTGTTACCCAAACACGGGCACAGAATTAATTCCAATTAATTGCTCGGGAGCGCTCGTGGCTTTCTGCAGCTCGGGAAGTTCAGAGCTGACAGATAAAACACAACGGGCAGAGTGCACCGAACCTGCCAAGAGCACCAACTCTGCTCTGAGTTATCTCCCACAGTTCTTGGAGCCCACGATGAGCTTAGAACCTGTTCTTGGAGCTCTGACACTTTGGTACAGAGCAAAGAGCTGCTCGTGTGCCAGCTACACCTCACTAAAAACTGCTCCTAATCTCTTTTCTGTTGGCACAATAAAAAACAAAGGCTCTAAACTAACGCCCTGACCTAATTATTCTAGTGGAGATTTGCAG